TTCAGCTTCAACTTATACCTGATGTGAGCCATTGATGGTCTATGCCACCGTATATACTCATCTTTTTCTGAATAATGATACTAATCTTTTTCCATACATACAGTGGATTTTTCCATTTGGGAACACACACACAGGTATAGTCATTGTTTATGTTGTTGAAAAAGGGTATTGGCAAGGAATAAGGTGTTATGTGATATCTACTAGTTTTTGTCACCAAGTCTATATTCTCACAGTAGTGATGTTTCTTTGTTTTAAAATTTGCACTCAAATAACCAGCAGTTATCACTTCATCTGGATTGCCTGTTTGATCAAGTTCACACTGCAGAAGCCAGACAAAATTATCAATTTCTTCATTTTAGGTTCTAATCGTCATTATGTGAATTCAACTAATAGTTATATTAACTGATTTTCCTTGTAGGCAATATTATCCTATTACTAACAGTTTGAATTCCGGGCTAGATCTTGACATGTTCTTTCTGATGAATGTGACATCATTTTCTTCAATTTTTCATTCGCAACATATCAGACAGGATGATTGTCTGACCCCAAATGGTTATCTTAGTCTTTTCAGAGCATATTTTTAAGAGAGACGAGTCCTTGGAAAAAGATAGTATGCTTTGAAAGGAGGAGGGTCAGTTAAAGGGAGGAAGGACATGAACAAGATGGATCGACACAGTGACTGTAACCATGGACTAGAGTATATTAGAGATGCTAAGAACGGCACAGGACAGGGATCAATTGTGGTTAACACACTGACACCTAAAACAACTGTGCCTAGGATTTCAATTTTTATGTGCTCCACTTCCATAAAAATTTATGTTTGTCTACCATGGCAGTGTAGTAGGATTTTAAATCAGGAAGTGAGATGCCTCCTACCTTTTTCCTATTTTTAAGAAGTGTTTTGCTTATTCGTGGCTTCTTTCCATTCCAAATGAAGCTGGAGATTGCCTTTTCCATCTCATTGAAGAATGAAATTGGTATTTGTATTGGGATTACATTGAACGTGTATATTGCCTTTGGTAGTATTGCCATTTTCACAACATTGAGCCTTCCTATCCATGAGCAGGGGATATTCTTCCACTTCTATAGGGTTTTTTTTTTGTTTCTTGTAATAATATTTTGTAATTTTCTTCGAATAAATCTTTTGTGCTTCTAGTTATATTTACTCCCAAATATTTAATCTTGTGATTAGCTATTGTGAAGGGTATTGCATTTCTTAGCTCCAGCTCTGTATTCTCTTTGTCACTGTAGAGAAATCCAACTGATTTTTGTATGTTGATCTTGTATCCTGCTACTTTGCTGAATTGATCAACTATGTCCAATAGTTTTATTGCTGAGTCTTTAGGGTTTTCTAAGTATACTATCATGTCATCTGCATAGAGGCATAGAGGGATAATTTTACTTCCTCTTTGCCAATTTGTATACCTCTAATGTCTTTCTCTTGTCTTATTGCTATTGCTAAAACTTCCAATACAATATTGGATAAGAGAGGAGATAATGGGCATCCTTGCCTATTTCCTGTTTTTGAAGGGAATGCCTTTAACCTCTCTCCATTGAGAATAATGTTAGCTCTC